ACCTATAGCACCATTATTAATTACCAACCTATAGCATCATGGAGCACTCAAACCGATTCTTCAGCATCTGTTTCAGTCAATACTACAATGTTAACATCTACTTCTCAACTCGACGAAGAGGGGTTAGCGCAGTGGCGCGTACCTTCGCTCGGCGTGTACCATGTCCCGAGTTCGAGTCACCCGGAGGGGAATTGGGGAACCAGTATTGATACCCCTTTAAGAAAAGAAAAAAAAACATCTACTTCTCAACTCAATGCATTCCCCCATTAAGAAAACATAGCAATCAAATTACAGAAAAAATGCCAAAGATATCATCATCAACCGTATTTGCCCTAAAGAGAAATCCCATTTCAACTGGCAAACCTCATAATCAAAATCTTATTCCCACATTACGCTGTGGCTACTTAAAGTTTTGGGATCTTTGGTGAACAGAATCTTACTACACTGTTACTTAGAAACAAAAAAAACGAAGAAAAAAAGAAAACAAGAATGCTTGCAAGGGTTTCAATATATATTAGAATAGTAGTCAGCCTCGTACGGTGCTTTGAAAAGTTGGAATTCTTGAAAGTTGGTGCTCGTGGTCACAGATTGAACGTTTGAGTGAATAGCCATCGATTGTTGCCTGTTAAGCCACAATTCTGAAGACGCGAGGGGAACTCCTTGTGGTACTACTGCATGACTCGTGATATCGTACATTGCTGCACTCTGCTGGAACGTGATGGGCTCGGTTTGGCATGAATCCCAGGAGTTGCTTGACAGAAGAGAGAGAGCACGATGAGGTGCTGCTGCATCTACCAAAGGCAAAACCGATGATTGTTATATCTAACAAAATAACTCTACACAGGAAACATGCTGTCTGATTGATTCATTCTAACCACGAAATGGGGCACTAAAAAACAAATCTTGAATGTATATATGACCTAAAATAGAAAACAGACCTGGATTAAAAGCCTGAAACTTGGAGTTGTTGGGGGCCGAGAGTCCACTGGTCCCATTTTGCACACTCATGATGTGTGCCGATTTGGTTCCTAGCATATGCACCCGTTGTTGATCAGTAGTACTTCCATCTCCACTCGAAAACCCATTTGTAAGAGTGAACTTTGTGGTGCGCGTGTTATCCCACACGGAATTTGACTGAGTTACAGGGCGAACTGGTGGAGGATTGTTCAAGAGAAATCCCATCGTCTGAGTCCCTCCTGAAAGCAACAGCCCAGTTATCAGTTCAGACACCACTATAATATAATCAAACTTAGTTAAGTACATACAAAAAATAGAAATCAGAGTCTGTACAATATATTTACCATTAAAACTTGATGAGAGTCTGGGGGAGTTAAACTGAATAGTTTGCTGTTGTGGCTTGCGGCGGCGTGCATTATGGTCATACAGTCTTTTCCGACAGCTGCGCTTTTTGTCATCAAACTCGGACAAACTATGGAACCTTCACAGAGGTTCAAGGGAAATATTATTATTAGCTCTTCAGATCCCCTCAAATTGGCTATAATAAATTTGCATCAAAACTGAGCAATAGGCAGTCAGTCATATGGGCTAAATATTTCTTTTCTCAAAAGAACAATTACCTGCTGCATTGCTGGCAAAAGCGACGTTCGAGCCCTCCGACAATAACCTTTGGGCATTTCGAGTGGCTATCGCAAATCTTATGCTTTTTGTGATACTCTTTGGCATTCGAAAGATCGGTATTACAGCCCTGCACTTGACAGTGTACCGGACCGTTTTGCCCGGGCGTCTTATTCTTTTTCAGTGCCCCTGAGGATGGAATCGGCATCACAGCAAATGACGTGCTCTTCACTGTGTTGTTCTCGAAATAAGTCCGCTTCCCGAGCTTCAAACCGATCGATTGCTCCCCCGAGCTGACAAAAGAAGGGGGAGAATTTCCAGAAAGTTCCGTGCCTTGGAATGCTATTTTCTTGCTCCAATTTGCAGCGCAGCCCTCGAACGTTGAGTGAAATCTGAAATTATTCGGCGGCTGCAGATCGATCTCAGCTGATGAGTCAGTAGAAGCTGAGATAGAGCTCTTGGCTGAGGAATTGTGGCAGCCTTCAGAGGGAGAGGCATTGCAATGGTTATCGGTAGAAGTCAATAAATTAAACTGCCCGGGATTGATTTCACCTTCATCGACGATCATCCACTCCATTAGTTGATGTTGTTTTCTCGGGCTCTCGGTGGCTCGGGACCCGAACGAAACAATGTTCTCCCAATCCCACTTTGTGCTCCACTCCATCTCAGAATATTGGCTCATTAAAGAAAAAAGGGATTAATTATCTAGCTGCAGAGGTTGCATTGTGGGATAGAAGAGCTGGATTTGAGAATTACAAAGCCAAAATCAGCCAAAAAAGAAGAGCAAAATAGGAAAAAAAAAAAAAAATAATGGGTTTTGATGAGCAGCAGCACAATGTACCTTAGATGTGAGAAAAGATGACACATGAAGCAAGAATTCCCTGTTCAAGGAATTGACCAAAACTGCAAAGAAATGAATCAAATGTCAAATAAGAGATACATACAATCAGAGTACCAAACTCCCAACTTCATACAAAATGAAGCCATTTGAAGCACCTCGTGAGAATCCTAATAAATATTTCAAATGCAACAGATCTTCACAGCACAAAAAGTTTAGAGAATAAAAACCTTGTAATGTTATTTAATCTCGGAACATGATTTGGAATCATATAATAATACTTATTTGATTGTCGGCAAGCATAAAAAGAGAGTGAGATTGGATTGGAGCTGCTATTATATCTACCGCCGACTTTATTGCACCAGATCAGAATAGTAAAAAAGATTTCACCACTCAATCACTCATTACTGCCCACTACTGTAAACTGTTTTAACCCATTCCTACAGTAAAGAAGAAGAACTGTTAAAAATATCTGAACTAAAGTCTAAAACTCTCCCTCTGCCTCTCTCTCTCTCTCTCAATCCACTACAAATTAAGACCCAAAATCGATTTACTTTTTCAAAGACTAAAAGGTCGCTTTCAACACCTTTTTCCCCAAGAACCAGTCTTGAAGCTAGGGAATATATAAATATATTTTATTAGAAAGAACCAACAACAAGTATGTATGTAAGCCAAAAGGAGCAAAAATTAATAAAATATGAGGAGAGAAAAAGAAAAAGGAAAAGATATTACTGCAAATCAGCTGCTGCTTCCCAAGATAAATAAAGCTAAATAACCAAGAAAAAAAAAAAGAAAGAAAAAATCGAAAATTATCCCACGCCGTATCAGATCAGAGCACTGCAAATATAATCTCTAAGCACAAACTTTTTTTCTTTCCACTTGTTATAAAAATGGTTTATGTTAATGGTCCCCCATGCCAATGCTGCAATCCAGTCCAGTGCAGGCCTGTTTTCCATTGGAATAAACATCTCCAAAAGGATAGGATTAAATGATTACACACAAAATATTTTCCTTTTTTCAAAAGGAAACCAGATACGCAAACAAACCCATCATATTCATGGAGATATATCATAAGTATATGGAAAGAACGAACCAACCAAAAAATGGCAAAGGAAGGAATTTCCAAAGTAGTAGCAACTTTTTTTTTTTTTTTTTTTAACCGTTTGCTTGCTCATACATAATCAAACACGTAAAACAAAAACCCAAGTAATTTATCCGAAAATGGCAACAAATAACAACAGAACTAACCAATAAATGAAGGGACTCGCAACACAACAGGGACTGAAAAGAGTAGTAGTAAACAGAGAGTTAAAAATGGGAAAGGGATAGAGAGCAGCTGCTTACCCTGCCTGTAGAAGAAGAAGACAAATGAAGTGAGAGAAAACAAAAATGGGTAAAAGTAGCAACGGGGTGTGTGTGTGTGTGTGTATTTTTGTGAGAAAGTGTGTGTGTGTGTGTGACTGTGAGAGAGAGAGAGAGAGTGAAAATGCGTGAACAGCTGGGCAATGGTAGCCTGTGCTATGGTCTACACACTTAAATTGTGGGGTTCACTTGAGTTATATTCTTTCTTTTTAATCTCGGCGGCCGGCTTACTATTTTTTTTATTTATGCTACTTCTTATTATATCTCTATTTTATATATATATACTATACTATTCGTGTTTCTACTTTTTCTGTCCTTTTTAACTGAACACAAATTTACTAAATCAAGCATCAATCAAGTGTGAAGCACTGAAGCTATTTTAAAAATATTTTTACTTTGGAGTATGTGTTTTTAATTTAGTTCCAAATGAGATGATGTGGCTTCAATAATGAATAATGTTTAAGTTATTAGCTTTAATGTATAGATAGTTATTTAATCCACTTCTAATTAAATCCACCACTCCTTTAAACATATCACCTTATCCCATTAAGATTTAAGCTCGATTTCATTAATAAGCCCAACTTGAATTTCTTGGGCTTGAAAAAATGAGACTTCTCTTTAACTTTTGAATTTTTTTGTCTGAATTCAACGCACCAAGGTTCGGATTGGGCTCATTAAGACTTGAACTAGCTTGGTTGATTTGATAAACGTCGAACTTGAACTCATTAGGCTTGATAAGCATATATTTTTATGTGTGTGTGTGTTTTTGTTTTAAACTTTTAGTATAATTTGACTTGTTTAGTGTTTAAGCTCGGCTAGTTAAAACTCATTTCATGAGCAGTGTTTGAGCTTGTTATCGACTAGACGAAACAAAAGCTCGAGCTCGATTATCATAAGCTCAAACTATCTAGACTCGACTCGTTAACACATATATTTACTCATATCATCGCTAAATGATATTTCATCATGTTACTATCATTCTAAAATAAAGAAGATAACTAATTTCCTTCAATTGTTATTAAATCAGACATTTTAGTTGAACTAGATATTTGTATCCACACTCTAAGTGAATCATTAATGGTGGAGTTGAAGAACAATGGTTCATAGATGAAGCTCAAAATTAATTTGGTAAATGAATGAATTTGAGTCAAAAGTCAAAACCTCAATTGAATGTAGAAATTAAGGAAGGAAATGTAGTGAAGTCGGTAGATGGGGATCAAGTTTTTAAATAGCCGGCTAAAACGTTTATGGCGCTGTAGTTATAGCGGAGCTATAGCGGAGATTTAGCGAGATTTAGCGGCTAAATTGCACATGAATACAAATAGCGGCACGCTGCCAAAAAAACTATTTCTCAAATAGCGCCAACTTTAGCGAGCTATTTATTTCCTTGATGGGGATCAATCGGACGACAGAGATTGTGGCGTGGAGTAGTGAGATGTGGCGTGGACGGCGGGGATTGATGGATGAGTAAACGACAAGATAACTGGTGATGGCCCTTACACATGGCACAAAAGGGGTGGATGGTGGGGGAGAGTGAGCGCGTTTCCCACTGAGTCAACTCAGCTACTTTTTTGTGTTTAAGTTTTATCTTTTTCCCTCACACTTTTCAATTCTATCTTTTAAGAGTTGTACATTACTTTGAATTATCTTCTAATTGATCGGAATATTATATATGGGTGAGAGGAATTTTATTGTTCATTCTTCAATTAAAAATATATATAGATTATATATTTATTAGAATGACTTTTAATTATAAAAATCGAATCGTGTTATACATTTTTTTCGGAACACAATTTATTCTTTCACCTATTTATTATTACGCTATCTATATTGTATTATACCGCATTATCATGCTTTATATTGTATCATATTACTAGTACAACGCCCGTGTATTACACGGGTGCTTGCTATTTTTTTTCTTAATATCTAAAATCAATGAGAAAAAGTAGGTAAAATTTTAAATACCTTTTATAAATATATATATCATTATATATTTAGTATGACACTTATTTTGTGTGACTTACTTGCTTTATATTATAATAATTTTTTTTAACTTACAACATATAACTACATTAGACATAAATATATCAACTGAGAAATAATTTTATTTTTCTAATAAATTTTAATAAATATTATTATTTTTTATTATTATAAAGATGAATATAATTTATTTATTTTATATATGTAATATGGATGTCAAATCGAAGATCATGAAAAGATGATTAATTTGATATATTATATATATAAAACCGATAAGAAATACAAAAGTTATCAACTTTTAAAATACATTTATAATTCAATAGCTAATTGAAAGAAACAAATCAAAAGTCGGGGATATATTAATCAATTAGTATCGTAAAATTATAAAGAATTAAAGGGTTATATTAATACAAGTGATATTAAAATACCTAAGTTACCTAAATAATATTTATGAAATATCCGAGTCTAGATTAGTAATTATTAATATATCAATATTATTTGTCCAAACTTAATTACGAAGCATGATTCTTCGCCAAGTAAGATTTCGAAGCACCAGAAGCAGCCACGTAGGCTCAGCGCATTCGTGAATTATATATAAACTAGTACAACACCCGTGTATTACACGGGTGCTTGTTAATTTTTTTTTCTTAAAATCTAAAATTAATGAGAAAAAGTAGTTTAAAAATTTAAATACTTTTTATAAGAATATATATATTATTATATATTTATTATGACACTTTTTATTTGTGCAACTTACTTGTGTTATATTATACTATTTTTTTTTTTAACTTACAATATATAATTAATTACATATAAATATATCAATTGAGAAATAATTTTATTTTTCTTATGAATTTTAATAAATATTATTATTTTTTATTATTATAAAGATAAATATAATTTATTTATTTCAT